GGACACGCCTTTTCCCCCATCATGGTACTTAGTATATTTTAATTGCTTGCTTAAGAATCTGGCTTTTTCTGTGAGCTCCATGAGTAGAGGTACCAAATTATCTTTCTTATTGTTCCCAACCCCTGGCACAGTGCACCCTCAACTTGGGTGGAGGGAGTGTGGGGAGAGGGGCTCTAATCTGCTTCATAGCAGCTCAGCTGCATACAGGAGACAGAGGAGGTGCTTGGGACAAGCAAAATGATGGGGCTCTGTTCTTGCAGCATTACTTCCCATTGCGGATACCGGTGCCCAAGTGCAGGGAAAGGTGGGGGGCTCAGTGCTGCTAGTGGCAGAGTGCCCCCATGGCTTCCAAGTCCGTGAGGCCATCTGGAGATCTCTATGGCCTTCAGAGGAGCTCCTGGCCACGTCTTTCCGGGGCTCCCTGGAGACTCTGTACCACTCCCGCTTCCTGGGCCGAACCCAGCTGCACAGCAACCTGAGTCTGGAGCTTTGGCCACTGGAGTCTGGAGACAGCGGCAACTTCTCTGTGTTGCTGGTGGACACAGGAGGTCGGGCCTGGACCCGGATCCTGCAACTCAAGGTGTATGGTGAGTTCACCTGAACTGGCTCTCTGCCCCGCCCCGCCTTCAACAAAGCCCTGGAAAGGTATCCTGAGTCCTGGGAGCTGGGAGACGTGGGTTCCAGAAACCTCAGGCCTCTGATTTCATGGCTGATTCAGAGACCAGCTGCTCCTGCAGCCACATCTAAGAAAACTCTTCCGGTCTCCCAGGTGAGCTCCTCTCTGGATCAGCCCAGCTCTGCCCCCTGCAGTCCTTGTCTGGGTTCCAACTTGGTCTTTTCTTGGCTCAATAGCCTTGGACACAATGTTTAGCTCCTGACACTCACCTTTTCATTTGTAAAGTGGGCATTGTGATATTACCACATAGAGGCCCATAACAGCGAAATACAGTGGTGCTTGGGAAAGCATCTAGGACAGAAGCTGGCCTATTCTTATCAGTTCAAAAGTATCAGATTATGACATGCCTAAAAAAGAAAAAAATATTGCCAGTTAAACTATGACAATATTTTTATTAAAAAATTAAATTATAATCCAACTATAGTTAAAAGTATAGAATTTTATGTTATATTTCTTAAAAGAGCTCTTTTAGGTGTATTTAGAGATTTTTACTATATAACATTCATGGGTTCTTTCAGGTACTCATTGCTGCAAAACAAACCATCCCAAAACCTACTGGCCGAACACAACTATTCTTATTTCTCATGATTCTCTGGGTTGGCCTGGCTCAACCAGGCAGACCTTCTGCTCCACACGGATTTGCCAGTGTCATTCATGCAGCTGCATTCAGCACCTCAGCTTGGGTGGCTGAATTCACTAGGGACTGGAAGGGCCTTTCTTTTCGGCAACTTTACCTCCACCTCCACCTCCATCACCTCCACCATCATCACCTCCACCAGCTCCACCATCACCTCCATCTCCACCTCCACTATATTTTTGCTAGTCCAGAAAAAAATGGCCTTCTAGCTCTCATCTCTGTACCTAATGGCTTGGAAAAGATGTGTGAGTGGCTCGAGAGCACTATTTCAGTAAAGCCTCAGAAATTTGTTGAGAGGAGGAAAAGATTGAAATTAAGAATAGAGAGTAGGAGTGACAACTAGGAAGAGAGAAACAGTGAGGGAGAGAAAGGCAGTAGCAAACTGGGAGGAGAGAGGCCCTGCGGGGGACGCTAACTGGCTGTTCTTGAGAGTGCCACTCAGGGTACTGACGTGCAATTAGGTGGGTGTCTTTCTGGATGCGTGCAGCCTAAACCAGGTATACAGCTGGGCAAGCGGAACACTGCCTGGATTCCAGCACCCCCACCCTCACCTCTTACCCCGTTTAGCCAATGCCCTGGGCAGTGCATCACCTCTACAACCATGCTGGCAGCCCGGGGGCCTCTCCCTTGTTCTCAGTCTCAGCTGCTGCACATGCAAAACAAGGACATTGGATGTGATAATACAGGCAGCACCCACACCACTAAGCTCTAAAATACCTTGTTCTCAGCATCTGGATTACAGATTTTAAGAAAATTGTTGTTTTATTGCTTCCAATGCAAACATGATTAGAACTAATTGCACAAAACTGTCAAACAGCCATCCTTAGGAACTCTGCTTTGACAATAGATAAAAAGAATTTGAATGAGCAGATCAGTTACTAGAAATGTCAATGGGTGTTTCTGCTGTGCTCATAGTGTTTTGAAGCAGCTTGGCCTCTTAAATAGTGTAAATACCCCTCCCTATAATCTTTGTTTATACTATTAGTGTGCCTAGCAAATCTTTTCTTTTTTCATATCACAAATCCCAGCAGATTGGGCTGGTATTAATGAGGTTTCACTCTGCTTGACTTTGGAATATTGTCAGACACTGAGCCCTCTTATTGTCACCAGAATGCTCTCCTGCTGGTCCCCATTGCCACAGAAACTCAGGATTTAATCATCAACCTGTATAGGAAAGGGAAGCCACAGCCTAGAACACCAGGATACCAATTTATCAATGGCCCAGGTAACTGAGCATCAGAGAGTGAAGGTTATGGAGATAACAAGACATAGCCACAACACCCTGGTCACCTCCTTCAAAGTATTTTACACCATTGTAATTATTTCCTCCATTATTCATAATCACTTATCAGTATCTGTCTTCCTCACCGAACTCTAAGCTCCAAAAGTCCTGGAATGTGTATGTTTTCTTGCCTGACTTAAAAAATGCTCACTGTCTTTCTGACTGATTATGATGAGAAAAGTGCTATGACAAAGGATAGACAGAGTGCTTGGAGAGCTAAGTATAAGGGAAGGATTCACAATCAGGACAGCAAGCAATGTGTCCAAGCTGGGCCAAGGAGTTTTCTAGAAGGACGAGAAGAAAAAGGTATATGTGCACAGCTCAGTTATATGAAAGCATGGAAAAGCATGCTATGTTTGGGAGAACTGGAAACTAATTAGGATAGGTAAGGAGGGCCAGCAGGAGAGACAGCTGGAAAGGTTGACATCAACAATTTCATGAAGAGGGGCTGGCTGAGTGGCTCAGTTGGTTAAGAGCTTGCTCAGGAGTGCGAGTTCTGAGCAACAGCAGTTCGAGGCCNGACTGATCTGCCTCACCCGGGAAGAGCACAATGATGATGCCAACTTGGGCCAGTGAAGCAACATCCTCCACAACTAGACTGAAGAACAAAACAACAACAACTTGTCTGTTCCCCTTCCCCCAATTCCCCAGCACTGTTCCCATCCCCCCAATTTCCCAATAAAAAAATAAAAATAAAAATCTTAAAAAAAAAAAGTATTAACATCTATTCTCCTTGAATTATTCCAAAAAATCCAGAGGGAGGGAAGGCTCTCAAGCACATTTTACGAGGCCACTATTACTCTGACTCCAAAACCAGACAAAGACATTACAAAAAAAGAAAACTACAGGCCGATACCCCTAATGAACATAGATGCAAAAATTCTCAACAAAATACTAGCAAACTGGATTCAGCAACACATTAAAAATTTCATACACCGCGATCAAGTGGGATTCATTCCTGGAATGCAAGTTTGGCTCAATATCCATAAATCAATTAACATGATACACCACATCAACAAAATGAAAAATAAAAATCATATGATCATATCAATAGATGCAGAAAAAATATTAGACAAAATCCAGCAGCCATTTATGATCAAAACTCTTAGCAAAGTGGGAATAGAGGGACCATATCTCAACATAATAAAGGCTATATATGATAAGCCCACAGCTAGCATCTTACTCAATAGGGAAAGGCTAAAACCTTTCCCCTGAAGATCAGGAACAAAATAAGGCTGCCCGCTTTCACCACTTTTATTCAACATAGTTCTGGAAGTTCTAGCCACAGCAATCAGACAAGAAAATGACCTAATAGGCATCCAAATTGAAAAGGAGGAAGTAAAATTGTCATTATATGTAGATGACATGATGCTATATATAGAGAACGCCAAAGGCTCCACCAAAAAACTATTAGAACTGACAAATGAATTTAGTAAAGTATCAAGATACAAAATTAATATTCAGAAATCAGTTGCATTTATATACACCAATAATAAACTATCAGAAGGAGAAATCAAGAAATCAATCTGAGGGACTGGCAAGTGGCTCAGTAGGTTAAGAGTTGGCTTAAGAGTGCGGACTCTGAGCAACAGGCCTGCCGGTTTGATTCCCACATGGGCCAGAGACACTGAACCTGAGCTGAACTGCCACTGAGCTACCAACAGGTGGCAGGATGGTTCAGCTGGTGTAACAACAAGACTGCCTGTTTGATGGTGGGCTATGCCCACCCACAATGAAAACAGAACTCGGCGCCTTGAGCTGAGCTGCCGCCTGGATGGCTTAGTGGATAGAGAGTGTGCGCTCGTAACAACAAGGCTGCTGGTTCAACTCCCACATGGGATGGTGGCTATGCCCACCCGCAACTAAGATTGAACACATCACCTTGAGCTTAGAGTCCACGAGCTGCCGACGGGAAGCCAGATGGCGACTGGCGTCCTCCACAATGAAGACTGAAGAACAACAACTTGGCTGGCCCCCTTCCCCAAATCCCCAACACTGTTCCCCTCCCCCAATTCCCCAATAAAATCTTAAAAANCATCTTCAGAAAAAAAAAAAAAAAAAAAGTGAACAATTTCATGAAGGATTTTGAATACCAGACTAAGGAATTCAGCTTCTGTCCTGTGGGCAGTGGGAAGCCAGCCAAGAGTGATCTAGTCAGAGGTGGCATCTAACCCTGCATGGATCCCAGAGGCAGGGCTGTGGGCCCTGCCCAGCATCCCTGGTACCCACTCCTGCTTTACTGTTCTTGTCCAGATGCAGTACCCAGGCCCATGGTACAAGTGTTCATCGCTCTATTGGGGGATGGCCAGCCCCCAAAGACCTGCCAGGCGCTCCTGTCCTGTCGGGTCCCCAACATCAGTGACATAACCTATAGCTGGCGACAGGAGGGGACCATTGACTTTGGTATCGAGCCACATGGCCTCTTCATGGATGGACAGGTGCTGAGGGTTTCACTGGAACCAGGAGACAAGGATGTGGCCTATTCCTGCATTGTCTCCAACCCTGTCAGCTGGGACTCGACTACAGTCATCCCCTGGAAGAGCTGTCATCATGAGGCAGGTATGCCAAGGGCCAGGGGTCAGTGTGGGATGGTGAAGCTTTGAGTCCACCTCTGACCCTGCCTCTCCATGTTCTGCTGTAGTAAAGACCTACTACAAAGATGTACTGCTGGTGGTGGTGCCTGTCTCGCTGTTCCTGATCCTGGCTGGTCTCTTCTCTGCCTGGCACTGGGGTGCCTGCTCAGGTGGGAGTCCTGCAAGTGCTGGGGGTGGGTGGACCAATGAGATGTACTTGAGAGGGGGACAGAGTTTGGACCTCTCCTATTTGTCTTCAGGTTTTCTGCCCTCCTTACTTCTCCCACCTCATCTCTTGGCTTTCTTCATCTTGTATCATGGCCTCCAATCAGACTGAACTATTTGAAGTTTCACTTATAGTTCTTTAAATGAACTATTCTCTTCAATATACAAGGTGTGATCAGACAATATGGTGAATATTTAAATAACGAAATTTATTACAGTAAAAGACACATTGCCATTAATCATCCTCAAAATACTCTCCCTCACTTCGAACACACTTATCCCATCATTCTTGCCACTTTCTGAAGCAGTTCTGGAAGTCCTCTTTTGTGAGTAGCTTTAGTTGCTCTGTCATGGCTGTCTCGATGTTCTGAATCATTTTGACTTTGGGGAAGAGCTAGAAGTCGCATGGTGCCAGATCCAGTAAATAAGGTGGATGAGGACACACCATAATGTTTTTTATTTGACAGAAATTGCCATATACCAGAAGCGATGTGTGACACAAAGCATTGTCATGATGGAGGATGATTTGTGGCACACTTTCAAACTCACGTTCTCTCGGGCTGGCTGAGTGGCGCATTGGTTAAGAGTTGGCTTGGGACACCAGCTCTGACCAGCTGGGCCCCGGTTCAGATCCCACATGAGGGCCAGTGATGCTGCGCCCTCTACAGCTAAGATGGTGCACAACAGCTCAACCTGGAGGTGGAAAGCTGTGAGTCTCTGGTGATGGCATAGGCTGCAGTGGGGCTGGCCGGCAGCGGGCGTGAACTTTCGTGAGCTGCTGTGTGCTGCCATGAGCAGCCATCCAATAGCCAGTGAGCGACTGTCTCACCCGGGAAAAGCGCAATGATAATACCAACATGGTCCAGTGAAGCGACGTCCTCCACAACTAGATTGAAGAACAAAAGGACAGCAACTTGTCTGTTCTCCTTCCCCATCTCCCAATGTTGTTCCCCTCCCCCAATTCCCCAATAAAATCTTTTTTAAAAAAACTCACCTTCTCTCAACTGTAGCTCAAACCCGACTGGCTGCATGAAACAAGCTGAAGCTTGTCACATAGTTACTAAGATTCGATGTGCCACTTCTTGCATTGAAGATCCCTGCCTTTCCGTTGGATGGCACTTGACAGCAGCATTCACCTTATTTTGTGATCACAACGGAAAGGCTCCATGTCATACATTGCTTCTGGTATGGCAATTTCTGTCAAATAAAAACATTACGATGTGTCCTCATCCACTTTATTCACCGGATCTGGGACCATGCAATTTCTGCTCTTTCCTAAAGTCAAAATCACTATCCATGAAAGGCAACCATTTTGAATTGATTTAGGACTTTGAGGCAGCCATGACAGCACAACTAAAAACATGAAAGAGGACTTCCAGAACTGCTACAGGAAGTGGCAAGAACATGGGAACGCTAGGGGGAGCTTCAGGGGGGTTAATGGCAATGTGTCTTTTGCTGTAATAAATGGAAGAACTTCTGTCCTTGAAGTGTTACCTCTTATAGGGTCATGGAAAACCAGGAAAATAAATAAATGTGGGGGTTTTTTGCTTGAGGTGATCTTGGGCCAGGACAATTAGTATTCAGAGACCTTGGGCCAGGCCAAGGATGCTAAAATTCCAAACATTGGAGGGGTAAACTTCTTTCTGATCTGCTTGCCAGGAAAAAGGAAGAAGGATGTCTGTGCTGATGGAGTGGTTCTAGAGACAGAGAGCCCCCTTGTGTAGAGTCTGCCATAAAGGAGGAGATAAACTGATGCCCGGATCATGAGGAACCCCACTGCATGGGCACATGATGGTCTGGTACATATCTGGTGCCTGGAAACGACCATGGTCTTCGTACCTCCCAGGAGACGCCATCCTACTTTCCAGGAGCAGCCTGGGAAGCCATCACACTGGGGGGACAGGAAACACTGGCATGACCTTCCACACCCTCCCCCCTCCCCTCCTCCCTCATTGCACGTCCTGGTTCTGCTCTGGGCAAGATGGACTTAAGAGGACATTCCATAAAGGACACTGGGCATTCTCCAAGACACTGGACATTCTCCAGGACCCACAGGGACAGTGATGACCCAGGACATTCATTCCCTACCACTGTTCATGAGATATTGTTATGGACTGTATTTGTCGCCTCAAAACTCATGTTGAAGTCCTAGCCCCCAATATCTCAGAATATGACTATTTGGAAAGAGGACCTTTAAGGAGATAATTAAGGTTAAATGAGGTCATTGGGATGAGGCCTAATCCAATATGCTTGGTGTCCTTATAAGAAGAGGGAGAGATACCAGGGAGGTGTGTACGCAGAGGGAAGGAAGCCACCTGCAAGCCAAGGAGAGAGGCCTCAGAAGACACCAAACCTGCTGACACCTTGATTTTGAACTTTCAGCCTCCAGAACTGTGAGAAAATAAATCTCTGTGGTTTAAGCCTCCTAGTCTGTGGTGTCTTGTTATGGCAGCCCTAGCAGACTAATATAAATATTAACTAACTGGCACCAAAGGATTGCCTCCAGCCTGGGTCCTAGGCTCTAAAAGCCATTAGACCTTTGAATTAAATGTGAATCTCTGAATCATCCACTTCCAGCCCTAGTCCCAGCCCCAACCCCAGGCCCAGCCCCTATATTTTGAGACCCCAATGCTTCATGATGACCAAGGCGTTATCATAAGAAAAGGTCTAGAAA